GCTCTTTAAGTTTGACAATTTATTATGAAATTTCCAAACGTACACTTTTTTTTTCTCTCATTACGTACAACACCCTAACAATTGTAGAAACTATTAAAATTCATCTAGGTTCTAGTTGTTTCTTTAAAATATACCTCTCGATGAAGCTGCTTTTCTTTCTCCGACTATCATTTTCTCTCTCCCCCCATCAAACCTAAGTGACAATTACCATTAATTAAAAGAGCAATATAATATCTTCAACGCTTTTATTTTAGTCTCTATTTGGTATTACTTTTAGTTTCTAATCAATGTGCCGCCTTTAGGAGAAAGAAAAAATATCGTAAGAGAATGAAGAAGAGGATACTTTGAAATATAAATAATTTTGCGCTGTTTGCGCTGGTTTTTTTTAACAGCATGATATATATTTGAAAATATTAATAGGTTTTGGGAATATAAATAACACTATCAAATTTCATAATAAAATTTTGAACCTGAAAATGTTTCATATTAACTATCCTATACAATATCTCTGATAACTACGATAATTTATGTTGGCAACAAGATCTTTCCGCTTTTCATTTTGTTTCTAATAAACAATTGAGACATTTGAGTAATGAGATAGTGAACTTAGATAGCCTGGAGTTCTCCGGACGGACTTAATTAGAATCCAAAACTTAGATAGCCTGCAGAGACAAAGAGCTATCATAACTCTACATTTTATATTATATATATGCCGCATTCATAATAGGGAAAAATGCTTCCAGCCCCCAAAAGCCAAGTGAACATGCTTCCCACCCCCAGGACTTGGTCAATGGGTGTTTTACCCCTAAAAATAAAGAATCTGTTCTCTGAGCCCCCAAAACACAAAACCCAAGACATTAAAACATGTGAAGACCATAATACCCTTCTCTCTCTCTTTCTTTTTTTATTAAAATATGATGGAGGATTATTTTATTATTTTTGTTTTTTCTCTCTCTTTATCATGATGTACCAAGAGGATAGTTGAAATGATTGATGATGATTATTTTATTATTTTCGTTTTTTATTATTTTGGTTGTTTGTATTGGGAGGTTGTTAAAGTTACGGGTTGATTGTTAAGGTTACGGGTTGGTTGTTAAGGTTAAGGGTTTGTTGTTAAGGTTATGAATCCTCTCTCTCTCTCTTTCTTTTTTTATTAAAATATGATGGGGATTATTTTATTATTTTTGTTTTCTCTCTCTCTTTATCATGATGTACCAAGAGGATAGTTGAAATGATTGATGAGGATTATTTTATTATTTTCGTTTTTTATTATTTTGGTTGTTTGTATTGGGAGGTTGTTAAAGTTACGGGTTGATTGTTAAGGTTACGGGTTGGTTGTTAAGGTTAAGGGTTTGTTGTTAAGGTTGTGGATTTGTTGTTAAGGTTGTGGATTTGATTGTTAAGGTTACGGGTTGGTTGTTAAGGTTAAGGGTTTGTTGTTAAGGTTGTGAATCCTCTCTCTCTCTTTCTTTTTTTATTAAAATATGATGGGGATTATTTTATTATTTTTGTTTTCTCTCTCTCTTTATCATGATGTACCAAGAGGATAGTTGAAATGATTGATGAGGATTATTTTATTATTTTTATTTTTTATTATTTTGGTTGTTTGTATTGGGAGGTTGTTAAAGTTACGGGTTGATTGTTAAGGTTACGGGTTGGTTGTTAAGGTTAAGGGTTTGTTGTTAAGGTTATGAATCCTCTCTCTCTCTCTTTCTTTTTTTATTAAAATATGATGGGGATTATTTTATTATTTTTGTTTTCTCTCTCTCTTTATCATGATGTACCAAGAGGATAGTTGAAATGATTGATGATGATTATTTTATTATTTTTATTTTTTATTATTTTGGTTGTTTGTATTGGGAGGTTGTTAAAGTTACGGGTTGATTGTTAAGGTTACGGGTTGGTTGTTAAGGTTAAGGGTTTGTTGTTAAGGTTATGAATCCTCTCTCTCTCTCTTTCTTTTTTTATTAAAATATGATGGGGATTATTTTATTATTTTTGTTTTCTCTCTCTCTTTATCATGATGTACCAAGAGGATAGTTGAAATGATTGATGAGGATTATTTTATTATTTTCGTTTTTTATTATTTTGGTTGTTTGTATTGGGAGGTTGTTAAAGTTACGGGTTGATTGTTAAGGTTACGGGTTGGTTGTTAAGGTTAAGGGTTTGTTGTTAAGGTTATGAATCCTCTCTCTCTCTCTTTCTTTTTTTATTAAAATATGATGGGGATTATTTTATTATTTTTGTTTTCTCTCTCTCTTTATCATGATGTACCAAGAGGATAGTTGAAATGATTGATGATTTAATGTCTTGGGTTTTGTGTTTTGGGGGCTCAGAGAACAAAATCTTTATTTTTAGGGGTAAAACACCTATTGACCAAGTCTTGGGGGTGGGAAACACGTTCACTTGGCTTTTGGGAGCTGGAAGCATTTTTCCCTTCATAATATTACATTACATCCAACAATATACTCATTGCTCTCATATTATATATAAAATAATAAAAAAACAAAATTGTAAAGAGAATTGTTAATGGTCGGGATTAAACAGTCAATCGGATCCGGGATGGGATCGGTTCTGATTCAGAACTCGATCGGTTCCTCCTAGGTCCTCACCGGGACGAGGTAGAGGAGATTGATGAAGGTGCCACTTTCTTCTCTGACTTTATGTCTGGTTCTTGAATGAAGAACCCGTGAGAGGACAGTGACTGGTTCCCCGTGGTTCCTCCGACGGTCAAGTTAGTAAAACTCGAGTAGGGAAGGGGAAGACCAGGAACCGGTGTGGTTCTTGAGGTGGCAATGTGCCGTTACAGAGGATACATGTGTGTTCCTCTGGGTAGATGAAGAACTGTGTATTCTTTTTCATTTTTAGAGAGAGAGAGACCGCCTCAGAGAGAGAGCCCCCCTCGGTTAGGAGTCTACTTGTATATATCTCCGTCATGGGGATAAAATGGGTCACTTCTAGCCAAGCATAGGGAGATGGTGGTGAAGTGCAGGCTAAGAGCTGAGTCACCCCTCGCTTTACAGGTGACAGCTGGCGACTGGAGGGGAAGTCGCTTCGCCACGGGAGAGGGTGTCTCCGTATTTTTTCTAAAAGTGATTGAGAGCGTGACAAAAGGCACGCTGGCAAGCTGAGTCATCTCTCGCTTTATAGGTGTCGGGTGACGACTAGAGAGGAAATCACTTCGGTATGGGAGAGAGTGTCTCCGTATTTTTCAGGAAGTGATTGAGAACGTAGCAGAAGGTATGTGGGCAAGCTGACAAGTCATGGAGACCATCAGGCTAGAATCTGGATAAGGCTTGCCCGAGGTGGACTGGAATGCTGACATATACTCTGAGGGAGAGGCTCGAGGCGGAGGTTATTCCTCAACTTAGTTGACAACAGGGAATGTCCATCAAGTCTTCTTCATAAGTTGTCAAGTAAGTGGTCGAGTGTCCTTGGTGGATCGTCTTCGACAACAGGGTCGGCTGACCCCGCCTTTCGTATCGGCCTGAAAGAATGTTAATTTGATGAGTCGGCGGGGTCGAGGCCTCTGTTGGGCTTAGGCCACTAAGTTGGTTGAGGCCGGATTGCCAGGGCCATGATTGTATCATTTTACAAATACTCGTATCTTGGGTGAGTAAACACCATAACAATTGGGCATTTTTGCTTGGAGTCAACTTTTAGTCAGGTTTGAGTGAAATAAGATACGCTCTTATCAATACAAGCCTGCTTAGGACGAGAAACTGAGAAGTCTTCGTCTTATTGACATGGCTGACATCATCGGGCATCCTTTTACCAATCATAGCTTCGCTTTTCTTGGTTGACGTTGTTAAAGATCTGAACCGTCATTTGAAGAAACGAAGCGTCATGGACATAATGAAGGGCGTTCTGCTTTTCGAGTATTGGGACGTGGGGCATTAAATGAGGACGAGGCTTCGTGCTTCGAGTGAACCATTTCAGATTCTAAAGTGGATCTGACTTGGTTGTTTCGAAATCACCGTGACATTTGAAATCCTTCCACGCACTTCTTTGAAAACTTATAAATGACCTCTTGATGTCGAATGGATCGGTTCCTCCTGAGTCCAATTGACTGTTTGATCCCGACCATCAACAAGAATGAATAAATCGAGAAAGATCTTATAGCTAAAAACTATATCAGAAACATGAGACCTTAACAATTGGTACACTCATAAGCATCATTTATCACAATATTTAGAGTTTAAAATAATTAAAAAGTAAATTAAAATATAATCAAAAAATTAATTTAGGAAATATAACCAAATAATCGACCAAGCTAGGAATTATAAAAAGAGAGAACAAGCTAATCGACCAACCCGCGACACATACCGGCCGGCGTGAGTCGGATCCAAGTTGACCCAAACCTATGCGGGTCGTGGGCCAGACTAGGTTATGATCAGACCCGAGAATATGATTAACGTCTCGACTCCGCCCGGATCCAGGACCAACCCAGCCTGATAGGAACCCGAACAGGCCCGATCCAGGTCCAACCCAGCCCGATAGGAACCCAGACTGGCCCGATCACGGGTCGATCCCGATCCGGCTCGTGACCAGTCTGCCTATGAACAGGCTCACACGTGACATTTCCAAGTGGAAGCACCCCCGCTATGATCCACGGCGCATATTTGTATATTCCTTCTGAACAAAACATCACACAGCTGCAGACCCACAGAGTACGAATGGGGTCCACTCTTTCTTCAGAAATTGGGTGCGCATATGTGTGCCGTAAATTTGTCAGTACGAATTTATTTATTTAATTTTATTTAAATTTCTTGAAGAAAAACAAACAAAGAACAAATTGTCCCATCCCATCATCTTCATGTAGTGGTCTCGTGGTACCTTGATACAATTCAAAGATTAACATCACGTTATTCTAGTTCTACGCAATTAATAAAATAAATAAATGTAAAATACCTAAAACAAAAAAAAAAATCTCTAAATTTACACGTGGCTACAGGATTCTCAACAACCAAGCCCACACAAAAAGGAGACCAATTTTTCTCCTCGTTACTCTAATCCTCTGTTTTTTTTTTAAAGAACTCGTCGCTTCATTGGTCTCTCTGTTGCCTTGCTCTCCTCTTTACCCTCTCCTCTCTGTTGCAGATCCAAGGAGTGCTGTTTATTGGGTAATTTTGTACAAATTTATCCTCTATATTCCTCTTTTATTGCAAGTTATTTACAGCCTCTTTTCACTTCATGTCATATCCATTTCGGTGACAAGATTGCTTCTTTCTGTTGCTTGGCGAGCAACACCCGCTTGTGAGTTTTGATGATAAACAACTGTTCAAAAGATCTCATTTTGATATTCTTTCTGGGGTTGCGATTGATCTCCCTGGATTTTTTTTTTTTTTTGTTTTTGGCTACAAACTGTTTCTAGCTTCAGCTGGGCTGTTCTTCATTAATGCTTTCCATTGGTAAAAGGCGACACCTTTATCCCCTCTCTTTTCCTCACTAACAACCATCTCCTTGTCTTTTTCCTGCGAAATTGAATGAATTCACCGAATGGGTCATTTCCCCTTTCCCCATTCTCGCATCTGGGCTTTGAATTTTTCCAGATTTCAACAACTCTTGAGCTAGCTAGGCTCTTTTTTTTTTTTTGTTGCTGGTTTTACCTGTTCCCTACGTGTAACTTTTATCTAATTTATTATTGATTCCAATTTTCAATTCTAAGCGGTTTTCTCTGACCTCGGCTACCTTCCACTGCCTCACACCAATTTATAACAAACACTGGGCACCCTCTTCACCCATCCTTTTTATCCAAAATCATACAAATTCCCCAAATGGGTCCTCCCCCTTTTCCCTGTTATCGCTGCTCGGCCCTCAATATCCCTTTGATCTTGCTTCCCTTTTTCCCCTGATATCCTCTCTCTGGGTCGTCGAGCGCTGATGCCAATTCTAGTTTTAAGCGCCTCCTCTCTTGGTTCTCACTTCCTCTCTTTGGTCTTAAATTGACAGGCTCTCTCTCCAAAGGAGGAAATGGGGGACTCGAGTGAGGTCAGAGCCTGGGAGGAGCTGATCCCCGACGCCCTCGGGCTCATCTTTCGCAACCTCTCCCTTCAGGAGGTGCTCACGGTTGTCCCCAGGGTCTGCAAATCCTGGGGCCGGGCGGTCTCCGGCCCTTACTGCTGGCGGGATATCGACATTGAAGAGTGGAGCCAGAGGTGCAAGCCCGAGCAGCTCGATCGCCTCCTCAGGGTGCTTATCGCAAGGAGTTGCGGGTCTTTCCAGAGGCTTTCGGTCTCTGGCCTCGCAAGCGACTCCTTGTTCTCTTTTATCGCCGAGCAGTAAGTGGCCGCTAACCAAAATGATTGCTTGAGTTAATAAAATCTATTCTCTGTAGCCTCTGTTTTGTTCTTGCTCGTTGCTTGTTGCTTATGATTCATTGTGACATCTTGGAGCCTGGAATTTGTTGTCCCCCCTCCTCTAATTGAAGGAGATAGGCTTCGCATTACGGTTTTGGGGGGCATTTTCTTGATCTCATATGTTAGATTTGTCAAATTTGGGAGCCTATACGACATGGGTAGCCATTTTCTTATGTTCTAGCGTTTTTTTTTTTTTTGGACTATCAAGTTTTAAACTTGCATTTCTTACAGTTTTTCTTGTTATTTGTAGGATTACGTGTTTCTTCTTAGCTTTCCATATTTGCGAGAGGCATTTTTGTTGATTCTAGATCTCTCACATTCTGGGGGCTCTGAAGGCGTAGTTTAAGCCTTCCGTTCTTGTGGGTCAGCCTTATCACATGCCAGTAGGCATACTTCTTCAAGTTCATGCTTTCACATTTGCTGCATCAGACCTTGAGATTTGTCCAATTCATTCACATTAGACGGAGAGAAATAGATCTCAGAGTACATGTTTCAAGTTTTAAAAGACCTTGACCTCTCACTTAAATAGCTTATTGCTTAAAAATTATCTAGTAAATAAGCTTTTTTTTCCTTCTATGGGGTTGCCAATGTCTTTATTATTTTTGCTAATGAGTTGTTTGAGCTCCCAATCATAGCTTGAGGCCCTCAATTTGAGATCTAAAACAACTCCATGGTAAAGTTCCACCCGACAAACTCTCATGACAACTTGTAACATGCTTGATTCTGCCGGAGTCTAGACTCAAGTTTTATGTCTTAAACTTGCTTCTTTTGACCTTTAAATAGCATCTAATTGGCCTTTGCTTTAAACTTCTATACTCAAGTTTGGGTATTGGTTTTTGCAAGTGCTGGCTCCCTTCAGACCCTAGTCCTCCCAAGGAGTGAAATAAGCGATGCCATAGTAGAACAAGTCTCGTCTCGTCTCTCCAACATCACCTTCTTGGATGTGAGCTACTGCAAAAAGATCGGTCCCCGAGCCCTAGAATCATTTGGCAAGCACTGCAAATCTCTAATTGGCCTTCGACGAACAATGCACCCTTTAGAGGTTGCTGACAAAGTCAGCCAAGACGATGAAGCCTTCGCCATCGCCTGTTCCATGCCAAAACTCCGCCATCTTGAAATGGCGTATCTCCTACTAACAACCCGTGGAGTCCTCGAAATCCTCTCAAGATGCAAGGAACTCGAGTTCCTTGACCTTCGGGGTTGTTGGGAAGTGAAGCTAGACGAGAAGCTCGTAAAAGAGAGTTATGCAGGATTGAAGGTTTTAGGTCCGCAGGTCGAGGATACCTACGAGAGGAGTTTCTGGGATGAGTGCTCCGAAGAATACTCAGATACTTCGGATTATTCTTGGGAATTTATGGACGATGATGATGATGGAATTTGGGATGATGATGATCAAGGGTTCGAAGGCCTAGAAGTGAGATTCTATGGAGGTGGGTTTAATCAAGCTTATGCTGGATTTCACTGGCCACCATCTCCATGAAAGTTGTTGTTGATGGAGGGATTTGCTACCAACCGTAGCAGTGCTTGCTGTTAGCATTTCAAGGACTGCATCAAATCTGCTATTCGTTGACCGTGCTTGTAGCTTTGCTTTGGCTTGTAATGTTGGAAGGGGTGCGTGTGGGCGTGTTTGTGCGTGTGTTTATGTATGTATGTATGTAAACTGAGATGTTTACTTGGAGGCAAGCTTTGCTTATGTGCATCTGTTTCTTGTGCCTTTGGCTGCTAAGAGCTCGTAGTATTAATAATACAGCTGGTTATAAAAGTTTCAGCAGGGTTTCACTTGCCTCCCTACTGGTTATAATTGTCGCAACGTTTTTTTAGATAATTATACAAATTTCTCTTACGTTGTATATATAGATATCCATCCTCTTGTACTAACTAAGGAATTATTTGCAAATATTCTCTAGTAGAGCAGTATGGTTAACTGATAGATAGACGGTCTGTATATTTATTTGAGAGCAAATATGTCCTGGTGCATAACGAATTGCAATGGATCAAAAATATTGACTGCTTTTTCTAAAGCTTTACCTGCTTGCGAGTATATAAAAAAATTGACTCCTCTAATTTAAGAAGCTATTTTATATAGATTTCTAATTGCTATTATTATATGGCATTGTGTCATGCTCATGTTGTTGTGTGCATGGTTCTTAGATTAAGGTTGCTAGTTTATGAAAAGGGACACTTACATTTTAAAGCAGGTGGATACAAATTTGTACTGGCTTCCACTAAAGAGCACATTATTGAAAAAGGGAGAGTTAACCAAGTGAGATCTTTTTTTTTCTCCCTTCTCTTTTTCCTACAAGAAGTTTCCGACAGATGGGCAGGTCCAGTGGGCCCAGGCCCACGAGGGGGACCAAGCTCGGCATCCACATCCCCTCTCCTCTCAATTTATTTATGAGCAAACTTCACAAAACCCCCTGAACCTTGGTCGTGTTGCGCGAAGTCCTCGAACTTTTTGAAGTTCCACTGGACCCCTCCCAAGCTTCTCCCACTTCGCTGTCATGAGACACCGTTAAGGTTAGCAGCGCGTCACGCCGCTAAAATGAACAGTTCGCCTCTGTTCACTGAATAAAATTTCGTCAACATCCTTCAGTTTTCATACCCCTCTAATTCCATTACTCATGAGATGTCAAATTTCAAGAGGGTTCAGCTCGGGGCGCATTTATTTCGCTTTTGTTTGTTTGTTTGTTTGTTTGTTGGTTGGTCATCTCCTCTCCAAACGTTAGAAAAATGGGCTGGAGATGGGGAGCAAAGGGTTCAACAAAGAGGGCGGTTCTTTTTTCCGAAAGAGACAAGAGACTACACGTTGAATGTTTGCCGATACAATTATTTAAAGACCCCCGAAGTCACGATCTCTTCAAAAGTTGCACCCGCTGCTGTGGGAGCCTGCAGCACGTCGCGAGCTAAGTTTCGGGGAAAAGGTAGGGGCCTATTTCTCAACACTACCCCCCTCTGTAAAAAAAAGAATCTTGCGAGCGTATGAACCTCAAGATAAATACAAAGGTGATGAATGTATGTGGCCTACCAAGGCCACATTAATTTGTTCTCCGCATCTGCGGACAATAATATGCTCACGCTACATGAACTCCTTTGTTTCTCTATTTGGAATCACATTGGGTTAGCGCTGCACCCGCAGTAATCAATTCATTCTTAAGCAGTTGTTCTAAGATTTAGAGAATCTTGATCCGATCTATGTCGTATGCATTGGGCTTTATTTTAGGCGAGTTGCAGGAAATTTCCTTGTACCATCAAGCTCAAGGTTTGGTAGCAAACATCCTGTTTGTTGACATTCTCGTGCTGTTAAATCCTGTGTCGGGAGTTAAAACACTAGAACCATGTTCCCTATCGGATCCAATATAATAAGAATTTTGATGATAGCATTAGCAAGAAGAAGCATGTTGCTGAATCAAGAGACATATAGGGATTTCCCTTTAATTTTACCGAGTAACCTCAGCTTAACATTGGGACGTCTAACTCACTAACCCCATCATTTCATCCCCTAGTCAGATGAGCATGTTTTGCTCAAGTTGGTAGGTTTTTTTAACGTGCCTGAGGAGTTAGCAATAGTTTTTTTTTGTCATAATAAATTTAATTAAGAAAGGTTTATCTTCTATTGAAATCAGAAGTAGAGGCTCTTCTTTAACTAAGAAAGTATTTCCATCAAAATCTCGGAAAACAACTAGGGCTTCGTTCTCGTTTCTGTCTTCTTCCTAGTTCCCGCCCCAAAACCCAACTTCCCTCTTCGATTTGGTTCGCGCCCTTCGTTCTCGTTCTCGTTTCCACCCCAAATCCGATAGTGATATCGTTCTCGTTCTCGTACTTGTTCTCGTGCTCAATTGCGGTGGGCTGGTTTGGGGATTTATTGCTTGTCGGGCTTCTTGCTGTGTGGGTTGGCAATTGGTTTGGGGATTTGAGCTGTGTTTCCACGGTTGAACTTCCGAGCTATTGAGATATAAAACGAAAACCCTAAACCCTATTAAATTTTCGCAATTGGTTTGGGAATTTCAGAGCTCTTGCAGTTGATTTTTCGCCAGTTATTTTACATTTTGATTTTATGAGATATTGTGGTTGTTCATCCGATCTTGATTAGTGGTTGATTTTACTACTATTGTGGTTTGATTAGCGCTTGATTTCATGAATCAATGGACCGGTTAACAAATGAAGAAAATTATTGGTTCATTTCGACCCAATTGTGGCAACATGAGTTTATAAATTGTTGGATGAGAAAATTTTAACCCGATAGTGATATGCAAACATCTCCATTTGGTTCCGTTTGGAGCTCAGTTTGAGCTTTTGGCAATGCTGATGGTCAACAGCTATGAAGATTACAAACTAATTTATAATGTTCATAATAAGATAAGACGCTGTTTACTACGTTATTAGAACGCAATTTACATGAACTTGTACTTTTCAGTTGAGGCACTCAATTTTGATAAATGACCGATAGCTGAACCAACTTACTACATGAAAATATAAAATTATGACATAAAATTGGCAAAGTGATACATGATTTCTTTAGATCATTGATTTCGATCTAATCAAAGTAAATAAATTTTTAGTCCATGATGCTAGCTAATCGCCTCTTTACCCATGTTGGATTTGATGAACTTGACGAGTCACCACGGTCTCTTACTCATGTTTTACAATTGTGAAAATCTTGTGTTCATGGATAGTTGAGGATAGAATGATTTTATAAGATTTGAGAATGTGCAACTAGCAGTTGTAAAGTGATGGGTTGTTGACACTTTTCTATAAATTTGGCATATGTAACCAAACAAAAGAATTTTTTTTACTATTTCTATAAAGTAATGGGGCTTTTTTTTTTTTTTTGAACCACAAGCAAAGTACAAGAAATAAAAAAATTGATACTTTCTAACTTTTTTTTAAAGAAAATACAAGAAAATATATATTTTGAGTATTTTTTCCCCCCTATAATTTATACAAATCGAATCAAACAACCCCTTGGAAAAGCTCATTGACTCTGGTTGAGCTTATCATTTTACTATGTCCCGGGAATAACCTATTCATGAATCAATCAATCAATTATCCAAAAAGAGAGACAAGACGCGCGAAAATAATGATTAAACTCAACCATGAGTTGACTGTTGAGACACAAGAAAGGCAAACAGAAAGGAACTACTTTCTATTACTACGTACTGTAAACCTACAGTAGTTCAAAGCAGAGATTTTAATATGTAGTACCTCACACCTGTCTATGCCACTCTGTGATGGAAATAGTTGAACGAGAGGCGACCGTTTGATCCATTTCTACTATACATTTGAAAAGGTGGAATCTTATGTTTTTGAAGTACTTTTTTTTTCTCTTTTTTCTTCTCTCTTCTTCTTTTGTAGAACTACCTGAAATGTTGACCTGAGCTATTTATCAAAGCTTACTAAATAACATATTCATTGCATTGCATATTATAAAAGATAGGAAAATGATAGGGGCACACCCCCAACCACACCTCTAATCACACCCCCTCTCTAATTTGCTACAGTACACCGGGTCCCACATGAGATTTTAAATTTTAAAATTTTATATGGGGCCTGATATACTGTAGCAAATGAGAAAGGGGGTGTGATTAGAGGTGTGGTTGAGAGTGTGCCCCTAGTGCCACCCTAAAAGATATAAGTATCTATGCTATTATATAAAGAATACTGTAGTGGACATATTCTCATTTTGTACCCAACTCAGAAGGCAAAAATGTAATCACCAAAGAGAATCTTTCTTTCTTCTCCTTTCTATCTTTAGTGTTTTCTAGAATATTCTATATATATTATCTTTTTTTTCCTCTTTCTTTTTAGTTTTCTAGAATGCTCTATATCATACTCCCTGAACATAAGATATGGGCATATATAATTACATACCCACTATATTTTAGATTATAAAAGGAGTATAAATTAAAGTTTTAAACTTCTTTTAGGAAAAACAATAATATATATACAAAAAAAGCTGAAGAATATCATAAAGTATAAAAAATATATTTTAAGAAATTACAAATTTTGTGCATTAGGCACAGACATTTTATTCTGCAACAAATAAAATAAAATATATACAATTGATATTAGTAGATGCTAAAAATATATTTTATTCTATGATGTATTTTTTAGTATATGAATCCATTAAAAAGTTTTGCGCCTCACCTCCAATAATGCTAGTGAAATGATAATGTTCTTTTTCAACAAATGAATACAAATATACAATAAAAGTAACAATTAGAATTACAATATAATCCAATGTAGATATTATCAAAAGTATATATCTAGATAGTTAGGCTAAAGATATTTAAAATAGTAATTTGGATAGAAAATATGGAGAGAAAAAATTGACTCTTCTAAGTAAAATTATCTAACGAAATTACGTCATTGCTCAAATTGAAATATTTATCATAGTCAATTTCAAATAAGATAGAAAAGATGTAGCATATCAAATGAACAAACATCATAAAATATAATGTAAAAATTGATGATATTTTAAAACATTGAAGTGGTCATTTTACTGTAAAATAGAATATTTAAATGTTCATCCTCTTATATGTGCATTTGCATGTGCAATAATCCTAGCAAATAAATAAAAAAATAACATTCTACAGACACATAGGAAAAGGAAAAAGAACTGAGCTTAGGTAACTAATCAATTGCTACATAAATTATAGACTGGTACTCCTAGTTATCCAATCATCTGATCATTTCTCAAATCATAAAAAAAAAAGTTCATGTAACCTAACCCTTCAGCAAAATTAGCATGGACAGGAAATTTACTGAAAAAAAGCTTCGTAACATACTGGGAAAAAAGCTTTATAGCACCTCCAGATGGTTTTTCTCTTCAACTCTTGGAGGAAGATGGCCACGTTGGGCATCCCTAAACCGGACTCATGCCTGTCAATATGAGGAACCATAGACATGAGCAAGCTTTGCTTTTAAACTCCAGATATCAGTAACTCGAATGCATAATTGCATAGCAGCAGCATTTCTTAGTATTTCATTTACTTGATTTGGTTTCTCATCATATAATAATTTTAATTCAACAAGCATATGCCAAAAGGCTTTTACCTGTGGTTTGCAATCGAAATGAATCTTCATCAATAATCACAGGAGGGATACTCCACATTCCAAAAGCATGCCCCGATGAACCCCCTAAAGTAGTGAGACAATTTGTTTTAGTTATGATCTGGGTCAATATGAAGACCTCATGTTGTATCATGCAGTTCACAAAAAGTTTTGACCTTCTCTTGATGCTTCTTCACATCTTCTCCAGTATCTCAAGGATAGTTCAGGATCCAAAGCCCTTGACAAATGCTCGAACTTTTCTTCAGCCTCGGTAATGCATTTTGCCTACAGAAAAAACACAAGGTATTAACAAAAATAAAAAGAATAAAAAAAAGTAAAATACAATCTACTTTCCAGTGCATCTTCTTTGCTTGCTGGATCTAATGATAAATTGAAGGTGATAGCTATAGTGGCGTCTTGATAACTTTCTTTGATGGCTATTCTGATGTGTAGAGCATTCTTGGTTATGTTTTTGTTATGGCTATGCGTAGAGCATTCTGATGTGTAGAGCATTCTTGGTTATGTTTTTGTTATGGCTATTCTGATGTGTAGATCTTTCCTGGTTATATTTTATTCTCTCCCAAAACTAGTTTCCGAAATTCTACCACTTGGTTTAACTTTGAGAGAATATATTTTAGTTTGCCTTTTGTGAAGACATAGTTCTATTTGATAGTTGCTAGGATTGAGCTCTTCTTTAAGGCCTTGCATATTTTCTGGACGGTTCATTTAGAGCTGTTGCCAGTTTTAATCCATAAAACTTTATTGTCATCCTCAATTCCTCATATATGCAAGTGTGTGAAAGCACAAATTTACAGATGTATAATATCTGAAGCTGCTGCTCCATACATCAAGTTTTAGTTATGGTGCCGTAGACCCACTATAATTGAACCAATTTTTAAATATAATGACCCATCCTCTGACTTGCATAGATAACCAACAGTCACATAAACACAATCAGTGATGTGTATATCATGAGATTTTTCCTTGAACCTAAGGATGGAAAATATGGTGTTGAAAACTCAGGGGAAACCTAATGATCTGTAAATTATTAGTGCATTTAATGTACAAGACATGAAGATCTTCATAGTGATATCTGCCAAGGAACTAGGAGGCACAGGTTGACTTTTCGCTGCTGCATGAGGATATTTTCCTCTTGCTATTGTTAATCGTATATCTCATGTCCATGTCTTATCTATATCCCATGTTTTCTAATATTATGCCAACACGCATACATACATGTATATACAATTATACATGTATGTAGTATGTATGCATGTATGCATGTTACACAGGGGCGGACCTACATTGGGTCCAACGGGGTCTTGGCCCCACTTGAAGATTGACAAAAAAACCAGCAGCATAGGTGGGTTTTGGTTTAGAAGCTGAAGACTGAGGAAGAAGTGGGTAAAGGGGTAAAAGGACTTCTCCCTCTTTTTTTAGTTTTGGCGGGTGTTTGGTGTTTTGGGACTTTTAATCTTTTTTCTTCTTCATCTTTTTCTTTGATAGAGAAGGGGGCTACAGCAAGTGACTATGTTTGAAAGAAAAAAGAGGAGTATTTTAGAAATTAGTCCCTCAAATATTCAGTAATTCATATTAGTCCCTCAAATCACTGAAATTGTTCACTAGGCCCTCCAATCCTCTAGGTTTTACAAATTGGTCCCTCGGGTTATCTCACATTAGATTTGATGGGAATATTCTCAAATCTTATGGTTTGAGGAGATGTTTCATTTTACATTTTGTTAATGTTTTCAACTCATTTCTTAACTGTATAAACCCGTAAAATAAAATTCAAGCCCATTGAACTTATCTTCTTTAACAATTAGATAATGATTCCAACACATTTATGAGCTTCCCAAAGATTGTATCCCCCTAACAGCTATGTAATCTTATAACTGAGTCGTAACTTGGTAATTGAGAGTATTGGGTTACTAGTGAACCAACCATGGTTTGATATTTTAGCTTAAAAAAACTAACAGAGAGACCAATTTGCAAAACCTCATAGAAATTGAGAGACTAATAAGCAACTTCAAAGAATTGGGCGACCAATATGGAGTCAATGAAGAGGGGCAACTATCTAAAAATCTAGATATAAGAAGTTAAGCCGGATAGCAAACCTCTCGCTAATTTTTCCTCAAATTTTTCATAAAATTTGTTCATGCCTGAACGGATGAAAGTCACAACTCTTTATATAAGGTTGTAAACCTATCTCTAATTCAATTTTAAAATTCAAAACTAGAATTTAAAACTCAAATCATGATCTAATCCTGCTACAATTCAAAATCCAAAACTCAATTTAGAGAATATAGATAGCTCAATCTAATCAAATATCATATCTAAATCTTAAAGGATAAAGTCAACTTTGACCTAAGAATTTTATCTGCTTTTATCTGCAACATATATAATTTGTCCTGCAACATATTGCGAGTTGTTTGGGACTCTTGCAAGCGTTCACTCTCTTTGCCCTGCTTTAATATGTCATATTTATTTATTTATTCCCCTCATTTACAAAAAATCCTGGCTCCACCACTGTCCATGTATGTACATATGTATGTGTTTATATGTAGGTTCATATGAATATCCGTCTCTAGCTTACTGTATTTGTCTCTTTTCATTTCTGTAACAAAGCTGCCAACTAAGTACTATGATTTTTAAATTTCAAACGAGTATATTTAGCAAGATAACCTTTGCTACTACTGGGACCAAATGCAGTTCATTGGAACTTTTATATGATCAAAATATTTATAATAAATTTAAAAATTTTATTTCATTATAGAGGTTGTTACATTCCAATAAATCAAATTTCATCACGCGTAAAATCCTGAAGTTGAAGGCTACGGTCCATAGAACAACCAAGTACCAAACTAGTTTATATATATATATAGAGGAATATGGGTATACTTGGGCCAAGGATCCTTGGTAGTGATGTGGACACATCTTGTCCATACATCACACCTTGAAGTTGGTGAGGCTCCATCTTCAAGGTGTGATGTATGGACAAGATGTGTCCACATCACTACCAAGGATCCTTGGCCCAAGTATACCCATATTCCTCTATATATATATATAAACTAGTTTGGTACTTGGTTGTTCTATGGACCGTAGCCTTCAACTTCAGGATTTTACGCGTGATGAAATTTGATTTATTGGAATGTAACAACCTCTATAATGAAATAAAATTTTTAAATTTATTATAAATATTTTGATCATATAAAAGTTCCAATGAACTGCATTTGGTCCCAGTAGTAGCAAAGGTTATCTTGCTAAATATACTCGTTTGAAATTTAAAAATCATAGTACTTAGTTGGCAGCTTTGTTACAGAAATGAAAAGAGACAAATACAGTAAGCTAGAGACGGATATTCATATGAACCTACATATAAACACATACATATGTACATACATGGACAGTGGTGGAGCCAGGATTTTTTGTAAATGAGGGGAATAAATAAATAAATATGACATATTAAAGCAGGGCAAAGAGAGTGAACGCTTGCAAGAGTCCCAAACAACTCGCAATATGTTGCAGGACAAATTATATATGTTGCAGATAAAAGCAGATAAAATTCTTAGGTCAAAGTTGACTTTATCCTTTAAGATTTAGATATGATATTTGATTAGATTGAGCTATCTATATTCTCTAAATTGAGTTTTGGATTTTGAATTGTAGCAGGATTAGATCATGATTTGAGTTTTAAATTCTAGTTTTGAATTTTAAAATTGAATTAGAGATAGGTTTACAACCTTATATAAAGAGTTGTGACTTTCATCCGTTCAGGCATGAACAAATTTTATGAAAAATTTGAGGAAAAATTAGCGAGAGGTTTGCTATCCGGCTTAACTTCTTATATCTAGATTTTTAGATAGTTGCCCCTCTTCATTGACTCCATATTGGTCGCCCAATTCTTTGAAGTTGCTTATTAGTCTCTCAATTTCTATGAGGTTTTGCAAATTGGTCTCTCTGTTAGTTTTTTTAAGCTAAAATATCAAACCATGGTTGGTTCACTAGTAACCCAATACTCTCAATTACCAAGTTACGACTCAGTTATAAGATTACATAGCTGTTAGGGGGATACAATCTTTGGGAAGCTCATAAATGTGTTGGAATCATTATCTAATTGTTAAAGAAGATAAGTTCAATGGGCTTGAATTTTATTTTACGGGTTTATACAGTTAAGAAATGAGTTGAAAACATTAACAAAATGTAAAATGAAACATCTCCTCAAACCATAAGATTTGAGAATATTCCCATCAAATCTAATGTGAGATAACCCGAGGGACCAATTTGTAAAACCTAGAGGATTGGAGGGCCTAGTGAACAATTTCAGTGATTTGAGGGACTAATATGAATTACTGAACATTAAGATGAGTTGCACGCGAGAACAAAAAGATGCATATTCACTATATTATCATTAGGCAAAGAACTGCTGTCATGGCATACTGAACTAAGATCAGCATTAATCCCGTTTTAAAACACACCAAATGTAGTAATAGGTGGCTGCACTTACCAACATAGCTGGTGCAGTAGAAGCGCCATAAATGGCCACGAACATACGAAGTATATTGAAACTATTTTCTCTAACATCCCCCTATAACATAAAGTATAAGCAGATTAGATGCATTCAAAATTCCATGAACTATAGAAATTCTTTTAAAAGCCATCATTCGCAAAATCTTTTAACAGAGAAACTCACCTCATAATCGTACCTATAATATGATCACTTTGTCATTGACCCAGAACGATGACATCCCATCCAGAAATGCATATAGAAAGTAAAGTTAGGTAAAACTTTTGGAGATAAATCATGAAGGCTTAAATTCTGTGTCACACCTACACATTGTGACCATAATGAAACATGTATCTATAAAGAATTTAAAATGTACCAGTATTCGTATATAGTAAAGAAAATTAATAGAAAGAAATAAAGGAGCATGAACAAATACATCATACTATAAAGAATAGTAAAACAATAAATTTCTCTACATAAAAAATGCTGCTAGGCAAGTTATTAGTAGCATCTTTTATGAGGTGCCGAGATTGCAAATATACTCTTTATACATAACATAGTAATACATTATCAACTGGTCAGCTAAGAGAGATTTACTTACAAGTCATCCGATACTTCAACTAGGAATTCAGATATTGATAGAAACTCCATATGCAAGTCATTGACCTGAGAAATAGACAGAAAAAGGAAAGTTACAGAATATATATTAAAACAGAAACAATCAAAGAATAACACAGCAAAAGATATATGATTAATTCACTAGCTCTCATGAACGATAATCTGTACAATTAAGTGTGTATTAGTAGTGTGATGCTGAATTTTGAAATATGAATCATACATGTGTTAAATCTGTTTTAAGTGAAAAATTAGCAAGAAAAGAACAGTCATGAATGAACAGCTGGAACATCCCTCTCCTTGCTCCCTGTTTGTACACACACCACACATCATCTTTTATGTTCTTCAAATTTCCTTCCGAGGTATGCAGATAAACCTTCATAATTTCTATACTACACAAGAGGTTGAACATCAGTAGGCCTTCTTTATCACTTATCATGACTGGAACAGATCGAGTACCACAAAAATAAAAATAAAAATAAAAATAAATCATAGAACCTTCAACCTGCAACCCAATCTCACGCGAAAATGGAGTCTCACAACACTGCCAAAAAATCAGGCCGGGCCTATGAAAGAGCCCATACCGGAACTAGCGCCTTTTGGCTGGATACACCAGACAACAAGGCCAACAAAACAAATCTCCTCAGTGGGCGTAAAACTTTCAGCAGTTTAATAGTTGGAATAGAATTTCAACCATCAACTCTGTCACTTTGACTGGATATGCTGAATGCAGAAACAGGAATCACGCTTTGCAGGATGAAAGGGAAGAAAAGAACAGTGGATATACCTTGCGCCTTGCTAAACATCAAAAGATGACTCAAGAATCAAGAAGCACACTTGATCAAGATAATTTGCTTAGGGACCACGGACTGCAGGGATGGCATATACATAGGTACGACAGAAGAGAGGCTTGAGGGGGGGAAATGTGAAAGAAGTGAAAGCAAGCATGGTGGAAAGCACATGTCAGAAGCAATACTGAGGACATGACAAATTCTTAGCCAGGGAAGTAGGGCAAGAGATGAACACTGGAGACATATCCTGCCTAGAAAACAATAGCAAGTACATAGCCACAAGACCTAATGGATTAAATATTGAGGAATCTTCTCACTATTAAGAAGCTCAAATATGCCTAAAGAAGAAGACTCCAAAATTTACCAGAGCTGAGTCCAGATGAAAGAGGCACCTTCAATATTTGCTATGGAACTTGCATTCTTAATTTCTTACTAAGATGAAAAATAAGCTAGCAATGGTGGACATGGCTCATAACAGACTTTTCAGTTCCATATTTGATAATTTATTTGGAGAGGTAAATTCCTACATCTTTTATATTTCGTTAACACATTTGAAGGAAGGAATGCTGATCTTTCCCTGATGAAGTGCTATTATAGTTGTATTGGGGGAAATGAATACCGAAATCTGGCTTGAGGATTTTCATAGAAGTGGTGATATAGCGTTCATATCGCTATAACAATTACCAGTTAACATCAGAATATGGTACAATCAACCTCCAACATTGATGTGGAGCATAATTGCATAGAAAGAAGATTGCTTGATTTTTCAGTTTTCCAGTCAGAATCCAATGCTTGAGAAACCATAACATATCAAAGATAAATTCATGATCAATGCATAAGTACTACTAAAATAAAATATTAAGGTTACATGAACGCATTTACCTTCTGATTTCTTAATTGATATAACAAAAGATTCAGAACTCGATAGTCAAAGGATTTCAGATGCACGGCTCTCATAACATCTTCAATAATAATCTGCACAAGCGGGGATGAACAAGACATGTCACGTGTTGTTCTTTATATGAGAAACGATCAGGTGCACTTCTGAAATTACATGGACAACATTCCATTTCCAATATCAGAAATAAGAATAAATAACTAGCCGTAACCAATAAGCTTTCACTTTGAGACCGTCTTTATAAGAACCAGTGAAATGTAAAATTTAGAAGTTACATGATTAAGAATAACATTTGAATAATAGTTTATGGAAATAAATGTGTAATACAATAGCAAATCTCGTCCTGACTCTTTGGAAGAAGCTAACACAATGCACATTAACTGAAGTTGCATGATTGAGAATATCATTTCAGAGACAAATTAGGAATAAGTATATAGTTATCACCAATAGCCTTGTTCTGTCTTTATGAAAACAGCTATAAGGACCTAAGCATGGTCTAATGAAGTTCAAACACATTTTAGAATCAGCTTTTAACCAACATTCTAGATTTAACTCCTCCCCCAATGCTAACTCTGAACTTGCATCCCCAGGCCATAACCAATATATCTACTCCTTTGCTTTCTCTTTTTTTCTTTAATTACTTTAAAGGAAATTTCAATTCTTATGTAGTATCTTTGTCAATCTTCTGTACATAATTTTCACCCCAAATTTTTCCCAAGAATATTTGAACCAACATCAGCCAACGACTATTCCTACCTCGTACCAATGAATTTTAGCACGAAATGATACTGAACAAACTGGTACATAAGATATAGACTGATATAGCTCGTTTCACCCAACACAAAGGCATTGCCTGAACACGACCCAAGAACAGTTTCTTTTGTGAAATTGATCCTTTTCTTCTTTATTTTGTTAGTTTTTGTTGACTGTATAATCTCATATGTGTGTGTGTGCACGCGCGCGCATGCTCTTTATTGATCTTGTTGTATACATATGTTTTAGGAGCTCCAAATAATTTGTACAAATTACGACATTCATTTGAAAAGTTACGGCAGCAGTCTTGTTTTAAAAAGCCTTCGCCTAGTCCGCCTAGGCGTACGCGTAGGCCTCGGTAGTACCTAGACCGCCTAACTAACGCCTAGAGCTTGGACAGTATTTAGGCTGCTCACCTAGATTTTGGAAACGTTTAGGGGAGCATTGTCTGGTTATGTGGACTGCATCATTTAGACATTGATCGTAATTTTCTATGTTGCAACCTCCACATCCTCCAACCTCCTTCAAACTCCTTTAACCTCCAAATATGAATACTTCCACGACCTCCTCCGCCGTTCAGCAAAACCTCCTCGACCACCACTCTTAAATGAAGAAAGAAATCTGTCTAAATACTAGTCCGACACCTAAGCTTTCTATAACATTGACATTTACTATCAATTATTGTAGTTAAAAAATAAAAAAAGAAAACCTCCTAGACTCTAGGGTTCGAGTCCAACACTTAGGCCTCCTAACGCTTTCTATAACATTGTTAGTTATTATCTTGACTATTTAGTATCTAAGTATGCATGGTTTATTGTGGATCTAAGATTGTTATCTTTTTTTTACAAATTTATATGAATTACGTACATATTTTTATCAATTATAATAACTAAATAATTAAAAAAATAGCCAAACACCTAGGCGTCTGAGCGCTGGCTTAAACGCTTAGTCCGCCTAGTGCCTTCTGTAACATTAGGCAACACATATTTTGAATATGGGCTAGGGTCCTTGAACAAATCCCACCTGCACCATTCTTTTCTTGGACTGGTAATTCATAATTCTAACCAAGCACTCTCTTCCATATAGACATAGGTACTGTGTGTGAGATTGCATGCATAGTCTCAGGCCAGACTATTTTACATTAGTCATGATTCTATTTCATGATACAGTTGATGAATGATCACAATGGGATATATGTAAGTTGTCAGACAATAGGAGTTACTTTTTAAGTCATTACAGACACGCTACAGAGTCTGGAGTGCAGTTTATATTACATGGCTACAAGAGACAAGTAAAATATGCAAATGAGTAGAGAACGTAACTAGAGAGCACACCATATATATGGCTGCAAAAAGAAAAAAAAAAGTTACAATCGAATGAAGAATTTTGGATATAGACATATCTTCTTTTTTTTTGGATAACCCAGTCCGGAATCAAACCCAAGACTATGGAAGTCATATTAGAACCTCTCAACCATTTGGATCACCCGCGGTGGGTGGATATAGACATATCTGATAAATCAAAACCTAAAGTATTTTGGATATAGATAACATGACCAAAATATTGATAGAGGAGTTGGCTCCACATAGTTACTTAAACAAAACTATCACAAGAAGAAGAAGAAGAAGAAGAAGATATTGGTGTTTGTAGCACCTTTCTCTTGAAGGTTAATGCATGACAAAGTTTCCTTTCAAGTTCCCAATATTCATATCCACGCTGAAGTTCAGTTTGAATTCTAGATCAATAAGCCAACAAAAACAGGAGCCAGATAAGTAGATGTCTCACTGAAACCACTGTACACGCATCGAGCTTATGGAAAAAGAAACAAAGAGAACAAGGCCACTACCGCTCTGTCAGTAATCCCTGACACCGAAGAACATCAACAAGTGGATCAAATGACTCAGATATTGGGAAGTCAGAGAAAGATTGTTCACTGCCTAGATTACTTGCCTGCAAATGGTGGAAAAACTGACATAAGCAATTACAGATGGTATAGAGGCTAGTCCATGTACCAATAGTCAAAACAAGATAAAGATGCAGGTCTTCTATACTCACCCCATCGTGCATACAATTAGAAACGTTAGTGTCATCTTCTGGTGAACTTGTCAATGATAATAAACTTCTTTCGTTCATAGTATCCAGCTGTTGCAAGAGAAACAGAACTTTAGTCAGGCAATGAATTGTTCAGACTAGAAAAACACCCACTACTTGCAGCCAAATACCTGATATATATAGCTTTCGGTGAATGAAAGCACAGGAAGAAATTTAAATATTGCTCGTGGATCGTTGACATCCATTTCATGAAACATAAAATAAGATCTGCACTGTCATGCCAATATATATGTAAGAGATGCGTTAAAACCATAGCTATAAAACATAATCTTGCACCAGCCATAGAAAGAAGAAAATTAATAGAATATCTCGCCACGAACAACAAGTTTATCCTAAATAGAACCATATAAACTCAGCGAAATTATTTCCTGCAAGAATGTAGCATTTTTTCCATATGGTTCGATTTATTTTCTAGCAAATGTGGATTTGAAGGTATATGAGGAGCACAGAAATAGGGAGATGTAATTGTAAAGACAATTCTGAAAAAGAAACAAATAAATAATAAGACAATGCAAACACAAATATTATAGGTATAAGCTTTATCTTCATTGAATTGAGGGATCTACATGAAAATTCTAACATTGCCATAATGTGAAGGAGGACGATGCATTACTTACAAAATCCTCAAGAGTAGAATTCGCTCTTTGCATGCAATCAAGCCCAATGTTAGCCATGTTTTTATGTCTGTTCAGTTCAGGTAACTGAAGATTCAGTTTGTAATCAACTTTAGAACTGGGTGGAATATCTGCATAAAGCTGTTGACTATCTGCATGTAAACAAGTTGAGGAAATATTAACTATGTAATATATATATAACAGTCAAGTCCCAAAGAGATTGTGGACCTCCTGCGTCATGCAATAGAACGCTGATACAAGAATGAAGCAACTCGGCACTTGGCCAAATACAAACAGGAAGGGGGGAAATCAGAAGAATGGTAAATAAAGCTCAAAGCTAACTTCACAGAATTTCAAATAAGTTTGTTTGCTAACATGAACCAAAATTATCAGCAAGTGTATGTTTTACCTACCTCTAGCTCGTCAATACAAAACATAGCTAGAAGAAGCTCATAATTTCAACATTTAATACTGCTCATTTGTTAAGCTATCATGTCCAATAAAAAGCTTCTATTTTTCTCTCTGCATATTTTTGTTTTACGAGCGAAGTTGAGCAAAAGAGCAACACTTTTAGTTTTTTGCATTTCGCTATCCTTTGTTGTACAGTCTAGTTCAAGTTGAGCAAAGAAGCAAAGTTGAGCAAAAGAACAACATTTTTCTGTCCTGTGTAATGTGACATATGGCTTAATGTTGAAAAATAGTAGGGAGTAAGCAATTCTGTTTCAGTGAAAGCAGCTCTATCTTAGCAATTTTTGTGGGATGCAAATAATGAATATTACAATCAGCAGCTGCATTTGATGAAGCGATCAGTCTTTTCCATCATGACAATTAAAATGAGGACTATTGTACTATAAACTTAATAACACATTCCAACATTTATATACCTTCAGTTACATATAATACGGCATCTTCTAGAATTGTAGGTGATATCTGTCAAACAAAGGAAATATACACTTGAGTTCACATATCTTGTTCACCAGAAGCCAAAAGTAAGGCTTTTATTTACCTTTTTTATATGCTCGGAGACAAGGTCACATCTTTTCTTCATGGTGAGTGACTGAGATGGTTGAACCTGTATGAAAATCGACTACCGATCAAATTGAAATGGAGTAAAATGGAGAACATAGAAGAAGCTTAAGATAATAGTAGATCAAGCACTGCATTTTAGTACCAAATGTCTTAGTATCATGAAGAAATTGTGTAAACTGTTTCTTGAAAATAGTTATTAATATTACGACGAGTCTTTTCGATGCAAAATAAGGAGAGGCTGGATATTTTCTATAAGGTTTACAGAAAATTGAGAGATGATTAATCAGGGAACACAGTTCTTACCATTTCCTACCTACATTCCTCAGACGGCTAGCCCTCCGTGAGGTTGATTGTAAACTTCATGAGCTAAAAGCAGATGACGGATTGACAGGATAACAATAATCTGATTGCAGAACTCATAAAGTGGGACACAATGGAACAGGGACACGTTAATATATGTATGCATGTACTCTTCTGTAAAACATTTTGAAGACGCTAACGTGTAGAAAATCAAAAGGAGCGAATCAGATCGAAAAGAAACGCTACAACTAGAGCAAATAAACCTTGCAGTTCAACAAAATAAGGTATAGGCTGGAAGTTAAACCATCAAGAGTCAATTGGCTATAGTAAAGTAGAATCCAATCTATAAATAGACAACCTGTCAACCCTACCTGAAAAGGGATTAAACTTCAAATAAATTCCAAGCATCAGTCTTCTCTAAGCTTGAAACAATAACTTTCAATCTAGATGATTGCATTCGATCGAAAACAATAGCTTTCAATCTTAGAGGGACAAAGATCTTTAATTCTAAGTAAATAGGTTGCATTTTGATCACCGAAAAAGAAAAAGCTAGACATAGAGAGGAAGTACCATGAAGAGGAGGAAATCAGCCAGGAAGCGGTCGGAGTCATGACGGTTGGTGGAGAGCCCTCGAGCTTCCATGAACGACATCATTCTTTGCACTTTCTCCAGCTTCTGAAGCTCCTCCATTCTCGTTGTTGTTGTATTCGCTGAGAGAGAGAGAGGGAAAAGGCTGTAAAAAAAATAAATTAGGACAAAATTCATACGCTAGGATCAGAAATTAACAAGAATACGGAAGTACCAGTGAAATTCGCCGGATAAAATCCGGTCTCCGGCGTCTGACGGCGGCAGTGGGCGGGGAGAGAACGCAGGGATCGAGAGAGACCGAGGAGCGGAGAGGGAAAATATCAGTGATCGAGGGCTAAATTTTTTTTTAGGCGGAAATAAAGTTTCCTGTGTATATCGGTCCCTTGAAAATTCCGAAAGTAGCCCTTGCATCTTCAATTTTGCTACCACGGGGTTCTGGATATTAGTCCATTATTACATCTTTAGTATTTTGATATTAGTGCCTCAAATGTATATTTTTTTGATATTAGACCTCAAATATTCAAAATTTGGTATTAGCCCCCCACCTTAGCGTGTTGATATTGATTAAAACATCTATTGCAAGTTCTTTTCTTTTATGCTCAAAGAGATGCTAGTATTCTAAATCGGTTTGTTTTAATATTACTTAACCACACAATTAAGAACTATTTTTTAATAAATGTGATGTATAATTGTGTAGTTTGAATGCTTTCGTTTTCTTAAATTAATCTGGACACTTAAAATCTCTCAAAATCAATACAAAATCTAAATTAGAATTGGTGTATCGCAGAAATAACTAAGTGTTAACTTCATTGCAGGATATAACATGTGTCCCAAATTAACTATACACCCATTTGACTTGACCCCATGAAGACCGAGTCGAAAGGCGTCTTCACGTGGAACCTATTGTCAAGACCAACTTCATGCATTTTCATTCAATGGACAGAGTCGGGAAGCGTCCTCATCCCGAGCGGCAAAATTGAAAGGCATCTTTCTCGCCCTCCTTGAAAAGCCAAGACGAAAGGCGGTCTTTTTCGAACCCCTCACCGATAGACAGCCACGATAACATTAAATACAAGTCAAAGTCATCATTTACATCTCCCATGTTGTCATAATGACTCATCGAAGCACACTGGCACCGCGCCCCTTCTGTCACCGCCACAATAACTGAGAGGAAGACTCAGATAGCTAGATGCTGACACCTATAACTTATCAGCTGATCAAGCTGACTGCTTGGCCTCGGCCAAAGTAACGCATTATGCCCTTCAAAAATTATTATAAATAGGTGCATTGCCTACTGCATTGAGGCACGCAACACTATCAGAGGAACCACTGGAGAATTTAACTCCGGCTCTCTTATGCATTGTTTGTGTGCAGGATCAAATCCTTTGATTAATAACAAGTCACCAAAAAGAGATCGAGGGAACATCAGCACTCTATAACCTACCTAAAACCCCTCTATTAAGTATTAGACATCAACAAGAACAGTACAAAATAAATCATAACATCATGTGCAACAATTAAAATTTTCAAATTTCATATTTTTGATGAATATTTAAAAAACAATTGAACCTGATATGTAAATAGTCATATTGTATTTATTTGATATATGAGAGTTATTGTTTTTATTCAGGTATTTTTAATTAGATTTGAATGAAAATTTAGGCTAACAATAATCAGATTATTCAACAATCAACTTCCACACCTAATTATCTATCTATAATATAAAAAAAACAAGCTACAATGCCCACAACTTGCAACCAAGCCCTTAAACAATGTAATAATATTGTTGAAAGAAAGAAGAGTTTTAGACATATTAGGCCCCCAAATATCCTGTTGAGTCTACACTGTACTTTTCAATATTTATATTTCTAAATTAGACGGTAAATCTTATATTTGTTTGAATGTTTAATAAAACAAATTAATCAATCTGCAGGTTGTGTTTAAAACAACTTAACAAATTTGAGGTCTTATTTAAAACATTTTAATGTACTTCTGGGCAACTTTAGGAAAAGAGTCCCACTAGGAGGACACCATCGACCACACTTCCAACCACACGCCCACACTCTCTATAGTGCTAGTGGGCTATGCATGATATTTCGTTGAGTCTACACTATACTTTTCAATACTTATATTTCTAAATTAGATGGTAAATCTTATATTTGTTTGAATGCTTAATAAAACAAATTAATCGATCTGCAGGTCGTGTTTAGAACAACTTAATAAATTTGGTGTCTTATTTAAAACATTTTTTAATGTACTTCTGGCCAACTTTAAAGAAAAGAGTCCCACTAGAGGGACATTCTCAACCACACTCCCAACCACACCCCAAACTCTCTATAGTGTGAGTATATCCCTAGCATTATTTTTAGGAAAATTAAGATTTGGTGGTCTAATAGGCCGAAAAAAAAAAAAAAAAAAAAAACGCCCAACAAGAATTAGGGTAAGCGAAAGCTCCAACTACACCCGACAGACTCCCGCATCCTGTAGGGACCGCCGCGTCCCACTCTCCCCCGTTTCGCCCAAACGCACACCACATTTCACCGCCCCATTAAACCCCCCATTCAGCCCCAAACCCCTAACCTAACCCTAACCCTATTTCCCTCCGCAGCCACATGACCACCATGGTCCCTCCCTCCTCTCCTCCCCGCCAGCGACCACCGGCAGCGCCACCACAAAAGCCTCAACCGCCGGCCATACCCTGGTCGCACAATCCGACACACACCTCCCTATCGACGCCTACGAGTCGCAAGTGCGTAAACTCCTCACCGCGCCAGCTCAAAGCCCAAGCAGTGGGAGGAAGTCGCCGCCGCCGTCGCCGCCCGCTGCTCCTCCGCCGCCCTCCTATATCCCTCGGTCATCCGGCACCCAGTGCGCGCACAAGATCGAGAACTCCGGAAGGCGATTCGCGCCGAAAAGAATCGGCCGAATCCCGTCGCCTCTGGCCCTATTTCGATCGCATGAGAGGCTGGAGCGCGACATCTGTTTCGATTACGCGTTAAAGATCCTACCTTGGATTCGGAATCGAGCGAGGACGACGATGAGGGTGAGGAGAATCGTGAATATGGGAATTGTGGGGTTTTGATGGAGGTGGCGTTGGAGGTGAGGAGAATGGGGGAGGGGATGGTGAGGGTTGAGAAGAGGAGGATGGAGATGATGAGGGAGATAGAGAGAGGATGGATGGATACAGAGGCGAAGAGGGCCGAGATGGTGGTCGACGCCCAGAGAGGGATCTTGGAGAGCATTGCTGAGGCTTTCGAGGTTGTCAAGAAGGCGAGGACTGCTGAGGATCTGTGAGGGTTGCAGGTGCATTTTTTTCGACCTTTTAAAATTATTATTTTTTTAAAATTTTAAGTCATTAGTTTGTGTTGATTGTTTAATAAGGAATTGTTGGGATAGAATAATTTGTTGGTTTGTGTAAGTTGGTTCAAAATCGTGTAATGCTTTGTATCACAAAAATGCACTTTCAGCTAATAACTGTGGTGTCTCTTCATAAAAAGGATTAGTGCATATTGTCGTATGGACTAAGGAGGCTAGTTTGTATCTAACTGAAGCAATTTCACATTGTCACAATTTGGTTGATCAGTTTCTGAAGTACGTTCGCACTTCGATCAGATGATGATGATGTATGTGGTTTGTGCGAATTGGCTTGACTTTCGTATTTCATGTGACTACGTAAAAGACACTGCTTACGGCAAATTTCATCTAGTTAAGGATTAAAAGTTATACTATCTTTGGAAATCATTGATGCGGTTTTGGAATTGGATGCAAAAAGTGCCAACACTAGATAGATTGAAATGCTTTCAATGTGGTTCGAGTTCATACATACATGGGCGTCGATAGTACTTTTTTCTATCACCTGTTTTAAGGAATGGGCGCCAAGGAAACGTTTACTCCCTAGTTTTTCTATATCACTGAACAATTACATGCAATATCGTTGTGTTAAAGCTCCAAATTTTCTTAAAACATAATGCGAAGACTTAGAGGTACTTCAAATCTACGTTCTTGATAGTTAACCTGTGCTGTAATTGTAAGGAAATCTTAACAAATAATTTGACCTGTAGTTCTTTATCTAGGTGCTGGAATCACGAATCAATTATACAACGCTCCTCCTCTTTTTACTTCTTGCAGCATTGACAATAACACACCTGATGAAATTAATATGCTGCACCAACTAGGATGAATCTTAATAGATACCAGCAAAGGGGACTTCATTCTTGAGGGCTAAATTTCCATCCAATGTGAGATTCCTTCACAGAGAGTTACTACAAATGGGGAGTAGCCAAATCTCCAAAATGAGATGATTCCTTTTGATGGTATGGTAGGTAAATATTTACAACCAGAAATTTGCTCGATTATTTAAGTAACAAAGGCGAAAGGATTTGATGTGTATGATAGAAACAATGTCGTTTAAAGTGAGCAATGGAGAAATTAACACCAAAACCGCAGTGACGAGAATAAATATCAAGGTAAGAAGATAATACCTTGTACTTAGACTACTTTCGCCTTCCTTACCGAAGGATAATAAAACGAGATTTCTAGTCCAATTAAGTAGTTAAACTAAGGGAAAATTTGCAAAATAGACCGTTTTTATAAAGTAATTAGTGAAATAGATCACTTTTAAAAGTAATTAGCAAAATAGACTTCTTTTTGGCCAATAGGCCAAAAAGAGGTCGATTTTGAAAAAATGGCTTCAGAAAACATACGGGACTACTAGTCCCGTATGTTTAAAGCTAACTAATCTAATGATTAGTCTCGTATGTTTAAAGCTAACTAATCTAATGATTAGTGCACTAATCATTAGATTAGTTAGCTTTAAACATACGAGACTACTACTAGCAGTCCCGTATGTTTTCTGAAGATATTTTTTCAAAATCGATCTCTTTTGTCAAAAAGAGGTCTATTTTGCTAATTACTCTCAAAAGTGGTCTATTTCGCTAATTACTTTATAAAAACGGTCTATTTTGCAAAATTTCCCTTAAACTAAAGTAGGGTTAGTGCCGGGAGCCTAAACTCTCTCTGAGATAATGTTAGTGTATGTTGCTCGTAACCGTCCTGTTACATTTTGAGTTTAGAGTGGAGAAAATTTGAGCCATTAGTAACCAATTTGGCAGTTTTCTTTCTGCTTCAAAATTTCCGCGCACAAAGGAAAGACTCTTTTCTTTCATTCGGCATCCCATTTAATGAGCAAACACCTGCTGTCACAAATACTTCTCTTCTTGGCCTTCTCTTTGTTTATGTCAAGATGCGCAGTCTTTTGTGAAAGAGCTCTGCTATATGGACCCAAAATATAAGACAATTGGAGGGGGACATGTCATGCTAGCTCATTATGCAATAGGGAGGGACACCTCACTTGTCTCCTCCATTGCTCCCATATTTTGGGTCCTTGAGGCATTTTTCTTTGTGAAAATAACCTCATCAACTATATA